TGTGTCGATTTTGTTGGAACTGCAGAGTCTGTTGGTGGTCAGTTGTGTTTGTCAGTTCTGTGGGTCTATTTTTTTGGAACTGCCAAGTCTGTTGGTGGTCAGTTGTGTTTGTCAGTTGTGTTGGTCTATTTTGTTGGAACTGCCTGGTCTGTTTGTGATCAGTTGTGTTTGTCAGTTCTATGGGTCTATTTTGTTGGAACTACCAAGTCTGTTGGTGGTCAGTTGTGTTTGTCAGTACTGTGGGTCTATTTTGTTGGAACTACCAAGCCTGTTGGTGGTCAGTTGTGTTTGTCAGTTCTGGGGGTCTATTTTGTTGGAACTACCAAGTCTGTTGGTGGTCAGTTGTTTTTTTCAGTTCTGTGGGTCTATTTTGTTGGAACTGCCTGGTCTGTTGGTGGTCAGTTGTGTTTGTCGGTTCTGTGGGTGTATTTTGTTGGAACTGCCTGGTCTGTTGGTGGTCGGTTGTGTTTGTCGGTTCTGTGGGTCTATTTTGTTGGAACTGCCAAGTCTGTTGGTGGTCAGTTGTGTTTGTCAGTTCTATGGGTCTATTTTGTTGGAAGTGCCAAGTCTGTTGGTGGTCAGTCCAGTGTTTGTCAGGTTTGTTTGTGGTCACTAATGCTATTTTTTCTATTTTAGTATATGGCATCTTGTTTCTTTTATGATTAGAGCAAAAGTGTTATGGAAAAAAGTAATGGAACTATGCTAGATATGGTGGAAATTTGGAAAAGTTGGTTGAAACTCTTGGTGCCAAGTGGTAGGTATAGTTTTACTAATTCAGTTTCTTAACTGGGTAGGCAGGCATCAAATCACAGAACCTAGCAACAGTCCCTTGCTGAGATGGTGCACCCATAAGTCCATTAACTATATATGATTTAATGCCAAATAGTTTATGATCACTCATATCTTTCAAGGATAATGAAAATAAGTTTAAAATATGGTTGAATCATTTTGTAGGAAATATGGTAGAATATGGTGATAAAATGGTGGAAATTTAGCCAGACTTGGTGGAAATTTGGTAGGTGTATTAGTATTTCAATTACTGAACTGTTATATTCATGGAACCTATTACTGACCCTTCCTTGTCCATCCATCGTGTAAAAACCAAATATTGTTGTGTTCACTCATATCTTATCTGGTATTTTTGTAGGAAAAATGGTGGATTATGGTGGAAGTGTAGCACAATGCGGTGATAAAATGGTGGAAATTTATCCAGACTTGGTGGAAATATGGTAGGTGTTTTATTATTTCAATTTTTGGAATGTTGTCGATGTTATGGAACTTGTTACTAACCCTATCTTGTCTGTCCATTGTGTATCTATATTTTAAATACCAAATATTGTTGTGTTCACTCTTATCTTATCTGATAATTTTGTAGGAAAAATGGTGGATTATGGTGGAAGTGTAGCATAATATGGTTGATAAATGGTGGAAATTTATCCAGACTTGGTGGAAATATGGTAGGTGTAATGAATTTTCAATTTTTGGAATGTTGTTGATGTTATGGAACTTGTTACTAACCCTATCTTGTCTGTCCATTGGGTATCTATATTTTAAATACCAAATATTGTTGTGTTCACTCTTATCTTATCTGGTAATTTTGTAGGAAAAATGGTGGATTATGGTAGAAGTGTAGCACAATACGGTGATAAAATGGTGGAAATTTATCCAGACTTGGTGGAAATATGGTAGGTGTTTTATTATTTCAATTTTTGAAATGTTGTCGATGTTTTGGAACCTATTACTGACCCTTCCTTGTCCATCCATCGTTTAAATGCCAAATATATTCAAGTTTATTTTGGTTATTTTTGTAGGAAATATGGTAGATTATAGTTGAAGTGTAGCAGAAGGTAGTTAATGAATAGTGGTAATATAGTTAAGTTGGTGGAAATTGGTAGGTGTATTTATATTCCAATTACTGGACTGTTATATTTATGGTACCAACCGACTCATCCTTGCCTCTCCATTGGGTGTATATCGTTTAAATGTCAAAGATATTTGTTTCCACTCAATTCTTATTTTGATATTTCTGTAGATTGTTGTAAAATAGAGCAGAAGATGGTGAAGATAGTTAGATAGCTGTTGATTGGAGAACCAGTATATCGTTTAGCAGCCGAGTCTGTTGGTGGTAACGCGTCTCCGTCAGTCGTGTGCGCATATATTACTTAAACAGCCGAGTCTGTTGGTGGTCACTCATGTCCGTCAGTCCAATGGGTGTATATTACTTAAACAGCCGAGTCTGTTGGTGATCACTCATGTCCGTCAGTCCAATGGGTGTATATTACTTAAACAGCCGAGTCTGTTGGTGGTCACTCATGTCCGTCAGTCCAATGGGTGTATATTACTTAAACAGCCGAGTCTGTTGGTGATCACTCATGTCCGTCAGTCCAGTGGGTGTATATTACTTAAACAGCCGAGTCTGTTGGTGGTCACTCATGTCCGTCAGTCAAATGGGTGTATATTACTTAAACAGCCGAGTCTGTTGGTGATCACTCATGTCCGTCAGTCCAGTGGGTGTATATTACTTAAACAGCCGAGTCTGTTGGTGGGCACTCATGTCCGTCAGTCCAGTGGGTGTATATTGTTTAAACTGCCAAGTCTGTTGGTGGTCACTCATGTTCCTGAACTAACAGGTAAATTAGTGGTTACCCCTTATCCGTCAGTCCAGTTTTGAATTGGTAAGTCTGTTGGTGGTCACTTAACTCCATCAATCAAAGGGTGTATATTGTTAGAACAGCTGAGTCTGTTGGTGGTCACTTGTGTTTGTCTATTTGTATGTTTTGTGTAGGCCTATTATTGTTTATGTCTGTCAGTCGACTGATTTGTATATTTTTGTTATTGTTATTAATTATTATGTCACTTTGTCACTAATCATATTTTTCCTTTAACTAATTGGTTTTTGTTTTTTACAGAAATATATTGCAATGATATTTGTCTCTGAAATTGATGGTCTATTTTCCAAATACAAGTTGTAGTTGGTTTGAAAATATTGACCTCAATTTTGATACAGATTTTCATTCCAATATGGTCTTTGTTCCATTTTTTGGCGACTACCAAAGAAGGTGACCAAGCAGAGAAGAGATGCGGGAGCAAAGACCCCCTTGACTATTTTGTGGCATGTTATATTTAATCTCACGTCCAATTTCGTCATTGGGGTTTTTATAATAACAACTTATGAAATTGAGATCTTGAAGATGATGCACCAATAAGATGATCCAACCAAAGAGGAGATGGTGGAGCAAAGACCCCTTTGACTATTTTGTGGCATGTTATATTTAATCTCATGGCTATAATTTCTTCATTGCAGTTTTTATAATTGGCAACAAAATAAAGTTTTAGTTCTGATGGATAAATAATTCACATTTGTATCAATTAGTTTCATATTGGAAGGTTCAGTGGTAAAGTTACCCTCGTTATCTGAGAGGTGTGTATGTGTTGTGAACACTTATTTCATTATAAAAGGTTATATTTGGAGAAATAATTGAATAAGCAACATTGTCGGGCACATCATGGATGACTTGCGATGAAATATTCCAGATATTCCCCCCAATCACTCCCAAATTTTGTCATTGTGCTTGTACCATTTGTTTTGAAGTCTAGTTGAACACGATTTGCATGTGAGTTTGTTTTCACATGATTAGGCCTACGTGATAAATGCATGTGCTAAATTGAGTTTTTGGGAGTATAAACAGCTCAGACCTAATGAAAGCTTTCACTTCTTTTCAGATTTCAAGGCAAGGTATTCAACAGCAGACAAATCTAAGCAGCATAACTCTCCCCATAGCACTGGTAATACAGCTCGATCCTGTGAGGTATCCCCAATGGTCATAATGTGGGATCGGCTAGATTAGTTTCAATTGGTTACAAACTGACAGGACAGCATCTCAACGACAAGTTTCAAATACTTGGACTCTGTATTGATTGTAAGTAAAACCTTACTTGATATTTGCTTTTGATATTTGCTTTTGATAGCTGCTCTTGACAGATGCTCTTGGTAGCTGCTCTTAGGTGCTCTTGGTAGTAGGCAACGTGCACTCAAGATAGTGATAAATATTAAGATGATCTGTTAAATGCTAAATCCAGTGGATCATGGTCGTTCAAAAATTACATAGTTGTCAAGAAAAATGTGGCACTTATAAGTCATGACATTCTAAGAGTAATTAACTGTTGTCTGACTTAAACATGGTTATGTCCCTTTAACTATTAAATATGAGAGCCTACTGAAAAGTTGATCTGGTAATTAACAGACTGGTGTTGTATGACTTTGATTACGAAAATGAATGGGCCGAACAACGTTGGTCAGCTTGTATTTGGATGAACATTGCTCCTCTAAAAATATATGTACACTATAACGTTGGCCAACTTGTGTTTGGCAGAACAGTGCGCCTATGTAAAATATATATTTTCTTAAAATAAGTATTTTTTCATTTTTTCAAAATTTGTATGTTAGAAAACCTCAAAAGAATTTCATTTGAACTTCCATTTTCACATTTCGAATTCATTGCCTTGTTAATTAAATTGAAAAAAAGAAAATGACGAAACTGGTTGTTGTTAAAATGTTGGCCAACTTGTCTTCGGAAGAACTGTTACTTATGCAAAATATATATTTGAATAAAAGTTACTTTTTTTTCATTTTTACAAATTTATATGTTAGGCAAACAAATGAGAATGTCATTTAATCTTTTACTTGAATATTTTCGATTAATTCTGGAGGAAAATAAATCATTTTAGGCACAATACTTAAAACGTTTCGCCCACGTTTGACATGTTAGCTTTAATGGAACATAGTTTAAATTATTTGTCATACAGTTTTGGTTTTAATCATTTAATTTGTCGGCATTTTTCTGTTGTTTTAAGTTGTGAGGTAGTGTTATTTGATGTATCTTTTTAATAGCGAACAAGTTAGGATTACTGAATTATTTGAATATTGTTTTATGAAAATGCTTTCTCACCAATCGGGTTTTACTTACGATAGACGGGTAGGTCAAGCTCAGTAGATTCTCGACATGAATTTGTAAAGTTTCTTGAGAAGAGATATCAGATAAAAGTTCCATTCATAACTATTTTTGTATTTTTGCATAGTATTTGTCGGCATAGTCGGTTATTCACATTTCTATAGGTCAGTCGCTCTCGGTTGTTCCGTTGTTTGAAGTTCTCATTTTGCGGACTAACTGTCAAAAATCGCTACACCTTGACTCTTTAACTGTAGGTTATAGTCGAAAGATGCCGCAAATAAAAGAATTTGGCCATAATTTTTATATTCTGACGATTTTTCTCTGATTAAATTGTTCGGTAGTTAAATATTGTTGTTCAGTAATCTGAAGTCAATCATCTATTTAGTGAAGAAGGGTCTCATTTTACGGGCTAACTCGGCTAACTGTTGATCTTTGACCTATTATATTGTGGTTTGTAGCCAGGAATAAAAGAATTTGGTCATTTATTTTATAGTCCGTAGATTTATTTCTCAAAAATGTTTACTTTAAAGCAAGTTTTGTGTATCTAGTTGATCAAATGGTCTTAAATTGAGGAACTGTTTTGATTTTGACGTAAATTCAATGGTTTTTGAATACCCGTCTTTAGTCAGAAACCCTACTGGTCCTGTAATTTTGGCCTCTGATTGTTATCATTGACCAACGTAGGTGTTAATTGTTAAAAAATTCGTCAACAGTTGGGTAAAAGTCAACGTTTCGGACTTTTTTGACTAGCGATCGAGTTTTTGAGGGATTGTAAATTTCCAGAATTTTCCTTCAAATCAAAGTTGATACTTTTTAGTTTCATTTCATTTTCGGTTTGAACAAATACTATGCATTAAATGTCACCAATTAGCCTCTTGACCCGAAATTTCGACATTTCAAATCGTTCAGTGGTAAGATATTAGTTGTTCGGTAGTCTGAAGTCCACTGGTGGTTGACGAAGTATGGTCTTATTTTTCGGTCTAACCCTTCTGAGTTTGTAGATTTTAGCTTTGAACTACCGAAATGACGGCTATTAATTGAAATTTGTGCATTTTAAGTCAGAAACTACCGACTTTTACTTGATTAATGTGGGTTGATATCTATCAGAGATCAGGTAAAGGGTCAGGAAGTTTCGGACTTATAGTTTTTCAAGCACAAAACTAAAAGAATTCGGGCTACCGTGACAAAAAAAAACCATTTTCTCGACCCTGACCTCGTCCAGTCCGAAAGTTATTGACTATTTTGATAACTTTTGGCTCTGATCTTGTAAGAAATAGCTACCAGGGGTTAGAAATAGAGACAGGATGTTTCGGACTCGTTGTTTATGGGCAGTCAAACGCAGTTTTTTAATAGCATCGATTCAAGTCAAAGTGTTCGGTGGTAAGATTTGATTGTTCGGTAGTCTGAAGTCCATCAATGTTTTTAGTACGGAGAGGCACCAGTCCGAAAGTTATTGACTATTTTGAAGTTTTTTTTGCCCTCATCTTGCAGAAAATAGCAACAGGAGTTAAATATAGAGACAGGATGTTTCGGACTTGTTGTTTATGAGCGGTCAAACTTGGTTATTGCAGTAAATTATAGCCTGTCAAAGTGTTCGGTGGTAAGATTTGATTGTTCGGCAGTTTGAAGTCCATCAATGTTTTTAGTACGGAATGCACGAGTCCGAAACTTATTGACTATTTTGAGGGGTTTTTGCCCTCATCTTGCAGAAAATAGCATCAGGTGTCAAATATAGAGATAGGATGTTTCGGACTCGCCGTTTATGGGCGGCCAAACGCAACTTTTTAATAGCATTAATTCAATTCAAATTGTTCGGTGGTAGGATTCTGTTGTTCGGTAGTTTGAAGTCAACCAATGTTTTCCATACGGTAATGCACG